CCGATGATACTTTCGTCGAGATAGCCGACGACGACGAAGAGCTATCAGTCGACCCCGCCACTGTCACGCTCTCGGAAAGACCGCGTGACTCGGATCGAGTGGCCGTACGTGACGGTGTGACGATTGGCAAACGAGTCACAAATGTCACACTGTCTATTGTCCCCGATTTAGGTAACAATTGACATTGAAAAGCACAATGGGAGCTAAATTGCATTTCTCTCGTCCTATTTCTTGTCTCTCTCTCATCTCGACGTCGCCGGTCGACATACTCTGGCAATGTCCTCTTGGAACGCACTTCCCCCAACTTACGACGCTCCCTCTTCATCCACCCTCACACCCTACCTTCAGCTCCCTCATCTCCTTTCCCTCACATGGCTGGCTTATCCTATTCTTTCTCTTGCATTCGTGGCATTTAGACTCCAGTTGTCTCTGGCTTCAGCTGAGGATGGTGTTACTAGTGCAAAAAGCAGCCTCCTCGCGAGTTGCAAGGCCGCGGAAACGGCGGCAACATCTGCAGCGAGTATGCCACGCTATATGGCAATTGCGTCCAACGATCAGTTTGCCGACATTGTCAACGGGTCTCTCAACGCTGCACGAGAGACGCTCGTCTTGGCACTAACCGTAATGGAGGCCATCATCAATTTCATCATTGATTTCTACCGCTCCACTTTTCTCTGCTTTCTGGAATTGGTAGTTCGCGGTGGCCTGGATCTTCTAATCGGAGCAGTAAATGAAGTGAGTTCTTGACGCTTCGATCCTGACAAGTTTCCTGACTGTCGCAAAGCTCAACACCGTCGTGCAAAGCGCCGCCGATGGAATTCGGACAGCCATCCAAAGCGACATTACATCCGCCAATAGTGTAATACAAACGGCTATCGATGCTATCAACAAGGTCAATCCCTTTGGCGACATTACTGCACCAAGCATCCCAGTCCCCGATCTCTCTGCCTTAAGCAATGTCACTTTGCCTGATAGCTTCACTCAGGCCTTGACCAGCCTCAACAATTCCATTCCCACCGTGGCTCAGATTAAAGACGCGGTCGAGTCTGTGTGCGTATCTATCGTGCCTTGTGTCCTTCATGTCCTTATATTTTATTCAGTGTCGATACACCGTTTGAACTCTTGAAGGCGGACATCAACAACACATTTGGTGGCATCAATTTCGACTCGTCTATCCTCCCCGTTCCCCAGCTGAACACCATCACCTTCTGCGACCAAATGGATCTGTCCATTGTTGACGACGTCGGACACGACCTCATTCAAACCGCAAAGATCGGAACCATCATCTTGATCCTCCTTGTCCTTCTTCTCATCGGTCTCAACTGCCTCCTGGAGTGGTACAAGTGGCGCTGCATGAAGGCGCACCTGCAATACACCCGTGAAGCTTGGACTTCCGACCCCACCATGGTTCATGCCAAGGTCGCAACGGCCCCAAGCGTGTCCCTTACCGACCATAATCTCATGATGCTCAATGCTAGTGCCGCGCACCCTCTCCTGACACGTATTGCCAACAATATGTCAAAGATTTTCCGCCTCACGCCCACGCAGCATACGCACCTCCGGTGGTTCTTCCACTACATTTTCCATCCACCGGCACTAGCCTGCTTCCTCATAGGCCTCATTGGACTTATCTCCATCGAAATCCAGCTGGCTGCAATGCAGCCGCTGGTTGCCAAGTACCAGGAACGCTCCGCCAACGCTACGACCGACTTCTCCAACACCATCTTCACCGCCATCAACGCGAGCATGTACAACCAATCCGCCGCTTACGCCAACGACGTGAATGGCCACATCGATGCAATCCAGACCACCATCAATGATGGCGTCTTTGGCTGGGTCAACGTGACCACTACGACCTTGAACACTACTATCGTTGATTTCTACAACGACGTGCAGAATGTGGTGAACACTGTATTTGGAGGAACCATCCTAGAGTCTCCAGCCCAGGATTTCATCCGGTGCTTCATTGGCAGCAAGGTCGACGCTATCGAGAACGCCCTCACCTTCTTGCACGACAACCTCGTCATTAATGTGCCACGCATGAATGAGACTGTGCTCGTACTCTCTCCGGGCTCCGTCAACGAAGCAACCCAACCCATCGCCACTGCAGCTCTTGGTGGAGGGGACGGCGACAACGAGGGTCTTATCCTGAAGCTCGTCAACTCATATGCAGCGTCACTGAAGAAGGAGCGCATCATGTTTGGTATCTTCCTCGGACTCTGGGTCTTTGTCGTCTTCGTGGCGCTCTGCATCATCTTCTGGCACTCACATGGCAAGCGCCTAGTAGAGATGCACAAGCGCAAACGCTTCGAACGCGAACAGCGCAGCGGGATCGACGGGATCATTGTGCCCTTCCGCATGTCCCCTGCGTCTGGGGAGAAGGGCTCCCCCAACGCACATCTGGACTTGCCCTCGTTCACGCCGCTGCCTTCCCCCGGTGGGAGCGCGTTCAAGCCATTCCATTTCAGCCGTCATGCATCGCCGACGGGTTCGAAGACCGATTTGACGAAGTTGTCACCATCTGACAACGAGGCTGAGCAAGGCGGAAATAGCGCTGGATGGGGCGAGACTTTCAGGCAACGGTTCATTGCACCACCTACCGATAAGCTGAAGGCGATTCGCAAGTCCATCGGGAAGGAACAGCAGGTCCCTGATCAGCGATCGGTCAGCGATCGGTCAGCTTCTGACAATAGCGCTCAGGATGAGAAAACCCCCGCTTTGTTCGGTCGCATGAAGTCGATGCTGGGCAAGAAGCCCACTACTATGGAGGCGCGTCCTAACCTGAGAATCTCTATCTCACCTCCTTCATCAGACGGCAATCCCCCTGGTAGTCGTGTGCTCTCGTCCAGATGGTCATCGTCCCCGATCGAGCCCTCAGCCGATGGTAGCTCGCCGTGGAAGAACCTGATCAAGAAGACCTCTCCCACCCAGACACTCTCGGTCTCCGTCGGCTCTTCCCCACGCGATACACCAACTAACGTCGAACCTTCGGAGGTAACCTTGATGGCTCCCTCTGAACCTACACCTCAACCCTTCGCCCCTCCCATCCACCTCGGCTTCGAAGACTCCCGCTATCCCAAACTCCACGGCCCACCCAAGGTGCCCCCTCCGCCCCTCGCGCTGAAGCCTGCTCCCAACCATTACCGAACCCCACCGCTCATGCCCCTCCCCCCCCCAGACAACACGCCCATCACACGCCTCCTCACGACCATGCACGCACGCCAGTCATACTCCATGGACCCATTCGTCACGCCGTTCGATGACGAGCACCAGGTCAGCATCGCACAGCCTGTCTACACACGCAAAAGCATCCCGACAAACCCTTTCCTCAACTCGCCTGCCGTGATGTGATTTTTTTTCTTCTCCCCGCCCCAGTTGCGGTGTGGATCCTGCCCTTGCCTCCGAATCATTTCGTCAGGCCCTTACGAGTTTACGACATTTGACATTGTAGAATATCCCATTCCCGTAATTTTCTGTAGCTGTAACATCTCACGCCTGACCACGCGCTTCTCTGATCCTATGTATTTTTACTGCCAATCTCCGTATGCCCCTGGCTGGATACTTGCGGAGTTGAATATATATGTAGCGACGTACTAGTACTTCTGTCCTGGTGGATAATATGCAACCTCGAGCAAAAATAATACAAATGTCCTTTTTCAAACAATTCCTTGCGAACTTGAAGAAAAAACTCAGCTTGCAAGATTTATTTAAATATGGGATGTAAGTATTGTCCGTAGGTGTGAACCTTGGTGATGGATGATCATGAACTCTATTTACCAAGCCACAACAAAGGGCTAAGCCGTAATGTATCGTTGTGTCCGCTCCGTCTGTGCCTGGGCCTCTGCTGTGCGCCTCCGCCGGCGGTCGATCAGTCTGGGTGCTACCACCGGCGAACAGGTCTTGTCTCGACGTTCGGTGACTCGCCCGCGTGTCGTGTGTCTCCGTTCTGTTTTCCTCCTTCGACCTTCCTCTTCCTCCTTCGACCTTCCTTCACTCCCATACCTCGTCGTCGTCCGTGTCGTCCGCCTCCGCCTCTCCCCCGCATCCTTCCCACTATTCTTCTTCGTTCTCTTCTTAGTCTTCCAGCTCTGGGGTTTTTCGCTGTCTCCCCGATTCCCCGGTCTTTGTGAACCCCCCGGACTCCTTCAGGAACTTTTCCATCGCCTCTAGGCCGTCCTCGGTTCCCAGGAGGATCCCCAGATCCAAATCTTCATCGACCTCTCGAAGTATCCCCCTATGTTCTTCGTACCTCGGGCCACGTATTAGAGACGATTTGAGATCTGGAGAAGAAGTTTTGGTATCGTCCGTATCGATTAGTGGTTAAATCATCTCGTTGTGGCGCGTTTACGCACTTTCAGCTCCGTGAAGCCGCAGGCTCGAATCCTGCTACGGACATTCCGGGCTCAAAAAGCAGATTTTTGAATGGGCGATGCATAGTGAACTTGAGAGTTGCCCTTAATCAAGTGGTTATGTGACTTGATCATGCTATACCTCGAACAAAAATAATACAAATTAGCCTCCTTAAAAAAATGCTTGAAAGGCATGAGCTTGCAAGATTTACTTGCTGTTCACAGGCCTATGTAAAGTGGACCCAGTATTTGGCTTTCTATCGCTTCGCAGAAGCAAAAGTGATTCAATGTCTGTCCAAGAAACATTGTCGTCCGTATCGATTAGTGGTTAAATCATCTCGTTGTGGCGCGTTTACGCACTTCCAGCTCCGTGAAGCCGCAGGCTCGAATCCTGCTACGGACATAAGAAGATATTCTCAAAAGTCGAAAGACTTTTTACGTGGGCGATGAACTTGTGGTGCACTAACGTGCATTGATCAAGTGGGAATGTGACTCGATTCCTGGTCCTTGATCAACCGACCACCTTAGTCCGTAAGTACCACACTTCGAAGATGCGCCTATACAGAGACATGTTCATAATTTTTCAAAACAGAGGTATTGGCTGAAAGTGGTTAGGAGATGCGACGCTGCACGCGCTGGGCATGTGACTCGATCCTCCCACCAAACCAAAGTAACACAAGCTGCCAAAGATGCTCTAGTCTTTAGACGTCTGATCCAGTAAATCTGGCCCAACTCTGAAACACATGGCTTTATCAATGAACTTTCGGGACGTTTTTTTCCTTGACTTAAACCTGTTTCTCCCAAAGCCCCTTTTTCCTTGAATATCGAGTGTCTCAAGCCCAAGTGAGGGTCCATCTTGCCCACGGTCGATAAACGCGTTGATGTAAGATCGACCGACAACTCGCCCAGCCTCTGAGGCTTTTTCGTGACTCTTTATTGGCGACAATTGAACTTTTACTTTGGGATCTGGAAATCACTGGACCTCATCCAGAGCTTCTCGTGATTCTTACACTCTTGGCCAAGTTCCACTTCAGGCAATGGGCACCATTTATGCGAGGGTACGAAGTCGGAACCAAGCCCCAAGACCAGTTAATGGTTTTCCGCCTTTCAAGGGCCATGCTGCAGCAAGAGTTTAAGGTGCGGTAAATGTCAAACTACTCTGGGTCATTCATCAATACCTCATGTGATGTGCCTTCTCACTCCTCATATAAGATGGACCTGTCATTTGAAGTAAGAGACGAGGGTCCCTTCTTTCAAACCATGCTCAAATTTAAAGCATTGGCCGTCGTCCTTATTTTGACTGCGATCCTTGCTCCCTCATCCGCTTCCCCAAGCGAAGCTCTAGCAAACCTTGGCGCCGCCGAAAAGAAAGTCTACCATTGTACGAACAAAATCCATTTATTTTATGTCTTGGCACTGATTATTGTCTTGCTATAGGTGGCGAGGGTGTATGTATAATCTCTTTTCTACTGTGTCTACTACTCATTACATAGCCGGATAGAACACATGTAATTTCTTTGATCTAAGCAAGTCTAGCATGGGATTCTCACTTGTTACTCTGTGCTTAGGTCCGAAGGACGGCAATTGGACCTGTTGTGGACCCATTGTAGTGGGGATAGGCGGAATGTACGTCCCGCCAATCGTTTTACCTAATCAAAATTAGAAAGATGGACTACTGTCTTAGCTGTCGTCAACTCGAACCTGAGGAACTTTGCGCCTTCTGACTGAGAGAATTCGAGTATACGATCCCTGTTTCTGCCTGACCAAATCCCGAAATGCATTTTGTTCAATGCCGCTCTCTACGGTACCGGACATTCACTCTCGTGGCGTTGACAAATTACGATGATTGCCTTGGCTGAGTGCGGTAATGATCCGTTCCGACAGGATATTGTGCCTTCAAGTTAGGATTGCTACGATTTTCCGTCTGAGAGACACGAGTCTGTGGCACCCACTTTCCTACCGCGACCTCTCGCAGTCAGCTTTGCACCTGCTACGGTAACAAGATACAAAAGACAGCAGGATATCCCATTTCGACAGAGAAAAAAGTATTTCCAGAACTTACCAATTGGGGTAGCTTGAACCCGTAACCCACCTTGATGATGGTGTTTGGTCGAGAAAGGGTCAGGCGCCGAGCACCCATTACCCCATTCCCCACTCTCAGCGGGGGGATGGAACTACCGCCGACCGCTATAAGAGTGCTGTCTGTCGAAGGTAAGATTTATCAGTTTCCTTCCCCAAGGTTCATTGATATGCTCAAATCTACTCTCTTTGCCCTCACCCTCGCGCTCGCCGCTATCACTTCACCTGTTGCCGCAGCCCCCAGTTCAGCACTCCCTGAACCGGTTCACCATTGTACGTCCATACTACAGTCAAATTATTAATCGGCGCTGAACAAGGTTTTATACTAGGTGCCAATGGAGTTGTATGTTTCCCTAGTTCTCCCTCTTAGTACTCAGTGCCAATTCGTGCATCTGACATCCAATAGGACCATTGTAAGCCTTTCAAATATAAACAACCTATGCGCACGATATTGGAAGTGCTTATGCATATTTTTTTATAGGCCCAGAGGGGTGGACTTGCTGTGGGCCTATTTTTCCTGGTATCGGTGGGAAGTCAGTCGCCGTCTTTTGTCCCAAGTATACTAGAGCGTTGTCGCTAATAATAATGCTAGGTGCATCGATCTCGGCACGGATATGGCCTGCATAATGTAGAACAGAGGATATTGAAGCCACAATACCACCGATGCATATATAATCGTAGGATTTGGTTCTTCGCTGTCAGTGGTGCTCGTCAGTCGCGATCCCCAAGTTCTGCCATTCAGAGCATGCATGACAAGTTGATCACCAAGGATGGGGCTGCAGCTGGCTGAGGCCGATACATTGCAATGTGGGCTGCGTTACAATGAGATACAGATTGGAAAGCACAAGGGTATACATGTTTGGCATAAGGGGCATATAACATAATTCGCTTCTCATAACCGCTCGACCAAGATCAACTCCTGCAGACGTCGGTTTGAATCATGGCAGGTTTCGGGTCATAACCGATCTCTGCTGTCCACAGGTTCCTCGCTTGGTCCAACAAGATCAGCTCCCGCAGACGCAGTTTGTCCCGACGGTAAGGAAGCAAGTTCTTATCCTTACCCTAATGATGATATCTTTAGTATACAACCCACTCCAAAATCATGCAATAAGCCTACCAAGCCTTCGCGGTACCAATAATCAATTATATTCGCAATTTGTCCTACAAATTCAGCGACGCGCATCGTGGCACCGTTGTTGTGGACAAACGAGAAATCGTATTCCTTTTGTCTAGGCGCCCCTGTAGAATCCAACCACTGGAATAGCTGGTCAATTTCCAATACCATCGAGTTCATTAAACGCCCACTCACGTTGATAACTAGGTACGCCTTGAACGGTATATTCATACGCCATGGCTCCGGTACCAAGTTTCGCATGTGCTGGGTGGGAAATGCTACTGCGTCCTTCAAATAATGGGACAGACAGGCCACAACAGTGATCCCAGTAAGTCCAACATGTTGGTAATTGGGCGAATAAAATATTAAACGACTGCGATCGAGCGTCATGAGCGAATTTGGGACAAGTGACGGCCTCGTCACAGAATGACGGGAGTCCCTTGAAACTGGTTTCATGTTGGGGGTCGGGTGCCCTGGCAAGCTAGACCGTGATTTGGTCGGTGACGCCCCAAGGCATCGACGTTTCTCCGAGCTAGACGAGCTGTACCGTATCTTCTGTGACCACGGGGTCTGAGGCAGAATACGTCCACTACACGTCTGGATGTATGGGCGCTTCAGTGGGGTAGAAGGTGTTGCCGGAATGCCAAGAGAGGAAGCGTTTGACGAAGCAAAGAGACTCGAAGGATACCTCATATTTGGGGATGAGATTTGGTGAAGAATGAGGTTGGCGATTGGTCGCGTGAGATTGAATCTGCATAGTGAGGACCTTGTGGGAGAAGCGCTCGAAATTCTACGCAGGGACCACAATATCAGACGTGAAGATCTCTTCCTTCAGACCAAGTAAGGCTCTAGAACTCGTCAGATAGCTCTGTTGACACATGGCTTCCCAGATACACACCGATCACGGGCCAAGACACCAAGCTCCCCCTGCCCTACAACCCACGCGACGCAATCCGGGACCAAATCCAATCATCTTTTCAAAAGTCGCTCACAAACTTGAAGACGACTTACCTCGACAGCTACCTTCTCCATTCTCCGTTCAACACACTCGAGCAGACCCGCGAGGCGTGGCGGACGATGATGGCTCTACAGGACGAGGGCAAAGTGCGCATGATCGGCGTCAGCAATGCATATGACGTGAAACTCCTCCATGCCTTGAGCCGCGATCGGAAGGTCGAGGTGGTGCAAAACCGGTGGTTCGAGCAGAACGAATGGGATAGAGCCGTTCATAATTATTGCAAGATGAATGGGGTTATGTACCAGTACGTCCTGTTCATCAGCTTTGATCAATCATCTCAAGCTTCGTACCTTCCGTCAGGTCGTTTTGGACGTTGACTGGCAATCCCTCCATTCTCAACCATCCCTCCATTCTTGCGATCGCCGCAGCGGCAGCTTGTACTCCTGAGCAAGCCCTTTTCAAATTTGTTCAACAGAAAGGGATCATACCTCTGTCTGGCACAACTAAAACGCTTCACATGCAGCAAGACGTTGCGGTTCATGGTCTTGAAGTGCCCGAGTTTCTTGACAAATTAGACGAGAATCTTAACATGATACGCAAGTAGGAATAGAAGTTCGAGGATGCAATATTGACATGTCGATGAACTTTTTTGAACCGGTTTCTAAAGTTCTATAACTTGGAATACCAAGAAGTCGCCAGTGACTGTGTAACCTTCAACATCCACTGTCTAAGGGACAAGTCTGAAGGGCTCTGAGTGATTGGGATCGGCAGTGTCGAGGCTAGAACTTCAGTCAGATGTCATTTATAATACTGTATGCAATGGGAGCTACTATATAAACTACACTCGATAATACGGGGTTTCCGCTTCCTCAGCCTGACTATCTTCTTGAACCCGATTTAAATGTCGCATTCTGTGCTATATAGGCTCCACGCGCTACCATTCCACACGCCACACCCTGTAATACGCGCCAATACCCCGAATAGAAAGAACAAAACCGATGTTTATAAACTCATCATTGCTGCCGGATATGGATTAATTGTTGTTTCAAGGGTCCAGTACTACAGTTCCCAGAATTGGACGAGATGATCGGGTGCGGCTGCACGTTTTGCGCCGTGGTTGTCAAGCTGATTGAACCCGAATGCTTTGGCCTCGGTTTCCACTTCAGAGTCGATGGAGAACTGGTGGATATGTCCTTCGAACTGTCAGCGGGCTCAAGGAGAATCAGATAGTGCCGGAGGATATGGAAGCAGG